AGTTGGTACTCTGGGAGTATGTAAGTATTTCTCATAGGAGATAATACCAATAGTGTCTGCCTTTGAGAAGAGATCACCAATTGGGGTGTTCAGGAAGTGAGGATTTGAAGACTACATTTGAGCATGTATTGTGTTTTGTTTCTTGAAGTTTTGATGTGTAACTGTCTCATGTCATGTTGAGTTTCTAATAGAAAATGGTGTTTGGATAAAAAGCAAACCATGATTTTAAAAAGTGATTTTACAATGTATGAAGCAAGTACGTGAAAAGAGTTTTTTTGTTTCTTGAAGTTTTGATGTGTAACTGTCTCATGTCATGTTGAGTTTCTAATAGAAAATGGTGTTTGGATAAAAAGCAAACCATGATTTTAAAAAGTGATTTTACAATGTATGAAGCAAGTACATGAAAAGAGTTTTATCTCGATTTTTGTGAAAGTGCTTTTAAAATGCAATTTTAGGGAAAACCAAACACCCCAAGTTAAGTGGGTGGTTGGGTGGAAGAACCTTGCCACCTAAATACCACAAGAATCATGGCTAGTTTGGCTACCCTATGTGGCACTCCTATCACAGCGCCTTCCCCGAATAGTTGATGTCCTCCAAGGCTACACATTTTTCGTACCCACTTTGCTTTCAGATTACACCTCTACTGGAAGCCCTTTCCTTGGAAGTTGATCCAATATGATGCCAATTGACTGAAACCTCAGTAACAGTCTACAATCTTACAGAACATTATTTGTAAGGTTGGAAAATGGATATCGCGAGTTTGGATGATTGTCTACTATTCATTAAGGTTTTATTACACCAATAAAAAGTCAGGTATATAAACTATCTGTAAAACAACTTAGAAATGCGGTTATGGTTATCAGTTTGAGGACTTCTCCTGTTTCTTGATATGTTCCTGTATCTTAATTTTGTAAGATGCTGGGTAGTTTGCTAAACACGACCTAGCTGCTCCATCTTGTCATTTCTCAAGTTTTCTCATTTTCTTACCATTAAGATTCGAGCTTCTGTATTTAGTAATGAGTGAAGCTAGAACTGCCCGCAACCCAACTTCACTGCAAATCAGCTTCTACTAATCACCTGCATATGAAGCGTCGTAATATTAAGATTTATATTTGAAATTTGAAACTAATATATCATTATATTTCTTATTATAGAGATTCACACATATATCTGCTCATGCTTTGTTCTGTAGGGAAGCCAAACCAAACTGCTTGTGTTTAAGAAATTAGGTTAATATTTCTTCATGAAGCATTTTGCACAAATTAGAATTAGCTTTTTATAGGTTAGACATTTGATGCTGTATCCTGTGTCTTGTATTTGCTTTTTTCTTGTGAACATCCATAGATTATCGATCAGTGGTCAAAGCATGCACTTGATCGTCTTTTCATGTGCATTGGTTACGCAGAAGTTGGGTATTTTATTTATCAAAGAAATGTTTTGTGTTGAATTCAGGTGGTTGCGAGTGAAGCGTTTTTATGTGATCCTGAACATCAACTTGGAAGCAGATTTGCACTTACAACTGGTTTGACCTTTCCCCAGATTTTTGTACGGTAGACTTTTCTTGGACCAAAAATTTTGAGAAAACAGTAAGGCTTGTGGTTTTTCTTTATTCTTGTTTCCCCAGTTTTTTAAATGTAAATTTTAGGGACGTTACTGGCAGTTGTGGTTTGCGAGCGTTCAGTAGCACGCCTGAGTGGAATCATAACGCTTAATCAATGTCTCATCAACGCGTTGTCCTCACTGATCATTTGGGATTACGATCACAATGTATGATCTGGCTATTCTAACTTACCCTATTGAACATAGTTTAGATTCATACTTTGGATATAGGAACTGTTCTCGAGATAATCTGCAATATTACATTTATCTTGCAAAAGTGTTTGGGCGATTTGTTGGTATGTTTTGTTTTGCAATTTTATAAATAGTGAATATAAAACATAAAAGACATGATGGAGGATTTAAGTTCAAAAAGGTAAAAGGCCATTTTATTATTATTTTTTCCACAACTCCATCTAATGTGTTCCGAAGAAAGTTAACCTAAAAAAATTATAGGTTTGATATGATGTTCGCTTTTTAATATAAGAATTAGTTTAATTTTTATTTTGGTTCTAAATATACGATTTGAATTCATTTTGTTTGTTATATTTATTTATTTTTTATCAAAATAGTTCTTGTACTCAGTGGTTTCAGCGATGATATTTTGAAAAAAAATAATACCTATTTATTATAAATAATTAATTAGTTCTCTTAATATATTTAAATTAGTCAACTAGTTTTTATATTAAAGAGGAGAGGTAGTATTATTTTTCATCCTTGCAATTTGATTTTATTTTAGTTTTAGTCTCTAAAATTTAAAATAGGTGATTTAGATTTTTGAAATTTGATTTCATTTTTGTACAGTGAGAGATTTTTTATCTTTAGAACAATGTTTTTAGTCCCTAAAACAAGAATTAATATCAAAATGAAATTAAATTTTAGATGTTAAAATTATTGATTTCAAATTTAAGGAATTTATGTCAAAATTAGGTTAAGTTTTAGGGATTGAAATTACTAATTTCAAATTTCAAGAATCAAAATTAAAATAATGTCAAATTTTAAGGACTGAAAATGGTATTTCTTTCACAATATATTACTGTAAAAATTGAAATTGCGAGATCATCACCTAAATTGTCAATGAAACTTGGTGGAGATATGTAAGTGTATTTTTAGGCTTTATGGCAAAAAAATGAGTGTCTTTAGTTGCGTGGCTTGTAATAACCTAGGCGTGTTTCTTGTGCTCAATTCACTAAGCTTGAAAACGACAAGGGAGAATTATAATGGGATTTCAAGAGAAAAAAATAATTACTAAAAAATCTCAATAACAACTTAAATAATTTGTAATGATAAGTTTCAAAATAAAAAATAATAACTTTTGAGATTTGTTTTGTTTTGTTTTTTTTTTAGATCTTATTATAATTTTTCCGAACAACAAAGTGGCAGGGGGAAAAAAAGAACGCAAGAAAATTTCGTAATGCTGCGATTTGCATAAAGTGAAGAAGAGATTAAGAACAGAAAGAGGAATAAGCATGGAAAATGGGCTTATTGAAATTGTTTAGAAAAATTAATCTTCTGATTTTTTAATTTTTAATTTAATTATGACTGAATTCTTCGAAATTTGGTATAATTTAGTTCCTAAACTTTTAATTGAGTTAAAATTCATTTTCTAAACTTTATCTATTTAACTTAATTAATAAATTAGTTCTTTCATATATTTGTCGTTACTCGGTCATTCTATGTGTAAAAATTGCCGTTGTGCTTGCAAGCAAGTTCCGCTAAATTACTGCTTTCCCTGTTTCAAGCTCCGAAAACAAGTTCTCAAGCGTAGGCTGTGACAGTTATGCTTACTTAAATAGTTTTCATGGTGGACAATTATTCGCGATATCGGGATATTTAGGTAAAAACCAAATCATAATTTTAAAAATGATTTTATAAGATATGAAGTAAGTACGTGAAATGAGATTTATCTTGATCTTGATAACAATACCTTTGAAAAAAATGCTTTTGGAGTGCACCAACCCCTACCCCCAGTGGTCAACCTCTCCCATAAGTACAGAATACTGATTTATACTTGGTAAAAAAAAATTGTTTATACAATTTATGCGGGCATACAAGCAAGTATATCAATACAAGTTACTCTAAAAAAAAAGAAAACTAGTTTCTTATAATATAACAAAGTAGAATTTGAATTCTTGTTAGGAGAAGTATTCAATAATAATAATAATGTTTCAAATAAAAATGTCTCCAATAAAAAGATATATATATATATATATATGCATAGCCCAAAAAAAAGTATAGCAATGTGAGCTTTAAACTCAAAACTTCAATTGAGCATGGGGGATGGTGTTATCATTGGAATAGTTTGTTGTTTGTACTATTTATAAACTTTAAATTTAAATTTGACGAAGAGTATGGTTCATTTTATAAGAGTTAAATTGGATTTGTCTTAACATTTAATATTTTTATTCTAATTTTTTCTTAGCCATTTATTCTCTCTTTTGTTTCACTTTCTTTCATTACATTTTCTCACACATTTTTTTTACCCTTTTTTCTCATTTTTTTATCAAGACATATTTGAAGATAAAAGTATATTTCTTATTTCTTTCACACATAAATCAATTATTTGAAACTTATAATAATACCTACAAGGAGTGCTTAGTTCCAAAGGAAAAAAACCAAACATAATTGGCCGACTCAACTAGAAAATCGGTTGATGGCCTGATCTGATTTGAGTATTGGACTGCTCTGAAATTAAACCAGTATCAACCTGGTTAAACCAGTAATAAATTAGTTTGGATGATTATGTTTCTATTAGTTTTATTTTTTCTTATTCAAACCCTAATATCGCTGTCACTATAAATTTCAATGAATTTTAATAATAATTTTGATATCTATAGGTATTAATTTTTGTTATTGAGGAATCGTAAAGATTAAAATTTCTAATATTGTTGTACTTTGTTATTGTTATAATCAAACTATTATTATATTTTCTTGTATTTTGTTATTAATAATTATTAATGTTATTATATTTTTATTAATTTTAATTAAATTATATTATTTTAATATAATTAATTTGACTCTGAGTTGATCTCAATCCACCCACTGACCTTTTAACTACTAAAGGGGTGTTTGGGTAAAAACAAAACTATAATTTCAAAAGTACTTTTATGGTATACGAAGTAAATATGTGAAAAAATTTATTTCGTTTTAAAAAAAATAGTTTTAAAAAGTATTTTGGGTGCTTCCAAACACTTTTTAAATTTAACGTCATGCCGTTTTATTTTTCCTTGCCTAGTTCACGTGGTAAAAGGTCGTCTTAAAAATGATTGATAATTATATGTTATTAAAATGTATTTGCTTTTTACACAACTGCCTTCAAGGCGCGTGGAGATTGCGTCAAGCAGCGGAGAATTTGAAGGTCCTCACGAAAACATTTCTCTACACCAAATCACGCAAAGCAACAAAGTCTCTCATCTCCTTCTCTACTTTCATCCCCCACTTCACCTCTCTCTCTCTCTCTCTCTCTAAAACAAACTCATCTATGGCTTCCATGTCCCCAAGATGTACCAACCCAGAGATTCCGAGCCCTTCTTCTCTCCTTCCCTCCCCTCGCAGCCTCAGCTCCAACAGTAGCACAACTACCACTAGCAGCAGCAACATCAACAATGGCGTTCACCCTCCCAAACCCATTACCAGATCCGAACCGGGAAGCCCGTATCCCACGACCTTCGTCCAAGCCGATACTTCTTCCTTCAAGCAAGTCGTCCAAATGCTCACCGGATCCTCCAAACCTTCCGCTGCAAACACCTCAGACTCGCCTCCGGCAAAATCTCATGCGATCCCGCCCATCAAATCCACGCCCAAGAAGCAGCAGTCCTCAGGGTTCAAGCTCTACGAGCGAAGGAATTCGCTCAGTAAGAATCTCAAGATCAGCCCTCTGATCCCTTCGTTTTCGCCCAACGTTTCCGGGTTCTCGCCCCGAAAACCCGAGATTCTCTCGCCGAGCATTCTCGATTTTCCTTCTCTGGCTCTCAGTCCGGTCACACCGCTCATACCCGACCCATTCGACCGAACCGGCCCAGTTCTTCATTCAGAAGCCGAAGAGAAAGCTATCAAAGAGAAAGGGTTTTACTTACATCCTTCGCCGGCGACAACTCCGAGGGACGTTGAACCGCGTTTGCTGCCTCTGTTTCCGACGACATCCCCGAGAGCTTCAGGTTCTTCCTCTTCAACCACTTCTTCCTGAGTAATCTCTGTATCTCTGGGGAATTTCTGGACTTTGTTATCAAGGAGGCCATTGATGAGCGAGAAAGAATGAGAGAGATGAAAGGGAAACATCGATTTGTAATTTGATTATATGAAGAGAATGGCTGAATCTGAGTTCAATTGTATGTAAAATCATGCTTTGATCCTTGTCATGAATGCTGATTCAGTTTACAGAATTCTGAAATGTCCATTAACTGAACCACTATTCGAATTCTACCATGAGTTTTGAATTCAGGGGTGGCTATTAATTGCAGTAGATTTACTCCAATTAATGCAGATATGAATTCTATGATCCAATTCTGTGCCGTAACCAATAATTTAATTAATAAAGTATTATTTTCTGGGGAAAAGGAGCTTTTGGGGATGGCTGTGAGACCAAAGCGTAGAAGAAAGGGGAAGGAATCTTGACTCTTTCGTCTGGCTTTTCTTTCTTTTTTCCCCTCCCTCCTCCTTGAAAGGCAAGAACAAAGCTTGGAAAGTTAATACAAGGTAAATATTAACATACAAAAGCTTGAAGATAAGAACAAAGCAGACCAAGCTGAATCATTCAAGAGGTTAAGGTAACCAGATTGCTACTCATATAATGGAATCTCAAGATCCCAGCAGGGGGAAAAAAAAGCCCCAGTGATCTCAGTTCTGAAAGGATGAATTTATACCACTATTTACTAAAAGTAGATACAAAACTCTGAAAGAATCTGTGTGGGGTTTAACTTTGGTAAATCCATCTCTGATTAGCTTCCACAAAACAGTATGCTTTTGGTTATTTAAAGAATTTTCCACTCATACATAACCAGATAATGGAATGCTCCGTCTGTTACTTGAAAAATCCTAATTCCTATGTTTGAATCTCGCATTCTGAGCATCTGCCACAAGTTAGATGAGTAGACCTATGAACAATTTCTCTGGGTTGAACACTTTCACCTTTTGCGTTGTGTGAGACCTAAGGGATGAAGCAAGAGAATCATCATATTACTTCTATGTGCTTCTAATTGTTTTTTTTTTTAAAGAAAAAAAAAACATTGTTTTCTACTATGGGCCTCCATGAATTAGTAGTGGAGAAATATTTTGCACCATAAAATAAATGTGAGAGTTTAAACGCTCTCAAACCACTTTTATGTACTCTCCTAGTCTTATTTTAATATGTTTCACCAAAATTTTAAAACAAACTTAAATTTTATTAACTGTTTTAAAATTTAATAACATTTCAACTTTATTTTTATAGAATATATTTTTAAAAAAATAAGTGAAGAATAAAATAGTATATTTATATTGAAAATTGAATAACGTGCCTTATAATATAGAAGCAAAAAAATCTTCACTTTTTATCTTATAAATAGTACAAGGAGACTAGCTTTTCTATTCTGATGAGCTTTCAATTTGTCAAGAAATTGTCAAGAATAAAGTGAAATCCGAATCTCTTTTTATCTGTTTATTATGTAAATTTAAATTTAAATTTATTGTGAATTTCGTAGCACTTAAAGTCAGGACAAGTTGGTTTGATCCTACTTCAGAGCACAATTTTGGCTGCACAAGATGTACTATATTTAATTTAAATCTAATAAGTATGTTGATTTAGTTGTGATTAATTTGACTTGTTTCTGCTGCCAATCTGGTCAATGAGCATTAAGTAAGTGTCTTTGTCAATTAAGTTCAACCATCAATTCAGTTTTGAAAAATAAAAATGATGTTGTTCTGGTAAGTTCCACTATTGAAAGCAGCTGACGAAAACGCAACATGATGGAGAAGAAAGGAGTGGTTGAAATCAGAGGGGAATTGACAAGACGAAGATATTTCAGATTTGAAAAAGAATGGAAGCTAAGAGAGATGGGAAGTCAACCAAAAGTAATAAGAAGATACAGATGGGAGCATTAAATGGTGTCGTTAATGGGTGAAATGGAATAAGTACTCTCTGCCCATTTAAACCTCTTTAGCTTTCTTTTCAAAAATTGGGACCTCAGTTGAGTTTGGTAGGAGCTTCAATGTCCATCTGGATTCCACACGCACACATATATTCTGTGAAATATAAAAAGAGAGAATTTTGACTTCAGACCAAAAAAAAAACAGAGAGAGAATTTTGACCCAATTAAAATTTAATTTCCAAAATTTAATCTAATGTAACTCAATTATTATAGTTTTAACGGTTTAAAAACATATTGATTCCTAATATTTAAGAAATAACATTTTCAAATCTCATGCTTCCTCCGATTCTTATTATAAAACGATTTTAACTAGTTCTCACAAATTAAAGAATCACAGTTAAAACATTAAACTACCATTAAAAAAAATCATTTTTTTAAGTTTACCTCAACTTAAATGAGATAAATAGAGAACGCATGATTTGGTGAACTTATTAAAACTACGTCTTGATCAATAACTGTTGTGTTTTGATATGAGTGTGTCAAAAGGAAAGAGTCTCACGTTAAGAAAATCACCTCATATAACATGTACTTCTCTAATTATATTTATAAGTCATTTTCAATATGTTTCATATATACTAAGAAAAACTTTAAACTTCATTAACTCTTATTTAAACTTCAATAACTTTCTAATTAACTTTATTCCTATTTAATACTCCCTCCGTTCCTTATTATAAGAGACGAATAACCGAATTACGTTGATAAAAAAAACAGTTAAAATTAGTTAAGAACAATTAATATGTAAAAAGTATAATTTTTTTTCCAAAAATACCCTCATTAATAAGGAGAGAGAGCATGAGAGAGAACAATAGTAAATTCTTAAAAAAAAAGAGAAGTGGAAAGGAGAGAGAGTGTTAGTTGGAGACAATAAATATGGGTAAAATAGGAAATCAACACAAAAAAGTAGAGACAACTTTTAAGTGTCTCTTATATTTAGGAACATACTATAAGCATCAAGTGTCTCTTATAATAAGGAACGGAGGGAGTATATAATATATTTTATGCAAACAAATGCAACATAATAATAAATAAAAGGAAAGAGTATCCTATAAATAGGACCAATAATATTTTTTTTCTCTCTGCTCTATAAATAGGACTGGAAGAGTATGTGTGTGTGAGTGTGAGTTAGTAAAGTCTTTTGTCGAAAAATTCTCAAAGAATTCAAATGACTACTACTTATAAATAGGTAGTGCCTGATGTTAGCCAGAACGCATCAAGTTATCGAGTTTTTAAACTTTTCTTTTCTCCTCTCATTTAATTTTCTGCTTATTTATATTTTATATTTTCGCACTTACGTTCCCCAAAAATAGTATCCACCGGCAAGACTCGAACCAAGTTTATAACTTGTTTTATTTTACTTTTATGTTTTTGCAGGTAACTCTACAATAACAAGGGTGAAGTTGCACAATAACCATTAATAAGTTAGTTGATGATTTATAATTTTATATATAGGACCAAATATTGCTTCTTATAAGGACAAGGGGATGGGGGAGTATTGGTGCTTGTGTACTGAGTTGTCATTTTTCATATTCAAGACCCTGATCTGGATTTTTGTATTTCTGAAGTTATTTAACTAAAATTTTCTATTTATTTTATACAAGACGAAAATAAAATTTTGATATCTATTGTAAAATTTAAATTTTTAAATAAAATAAGAAATTAAAATTAATCTAATAATCAATTAAATTACGTACAAGATTTCGATATTAAAAAAGAGAAGCATAATAAATTTTTAAATAAAAACATATTTATCTATTCATAAGTAGTTTTCTTCTTCTTCCCTCCTCTCCCAAATCAAACAACAATCATTAAAAATAATTTCTCTCCCCTTCCGTCCTTCCTCTATTTAATTCTCAATATATTTTTTTAAACATAATAAATTTTAAATTAAAATGAACACGTGACATGGGGAGTAGCTTGAATGTGAAGTCTTGAAACAGAATGATGAGGGAATAGTCAGTTGGGTATACGTGGGAGATTTTGAGTATCAGTTCTTAATATAAGATCCTGTTTGATTTTTATTTTGGTCTTAAATATAATACTCAAATCCATCTTATCTCTCATATTTACTCAATTTTTTTAAGATAGTCCTTCAAATAATTATAGTTCTATTTAATACACTTGATTGGTAAGGATATTTTAGGAAAGACAACACATATTTAGGACAAATAACTAACTCAACTTATTTGTTAATCTCTTTAAATTATTCAACTGACTTTTATAATTAGAACCGAAAGTAGTATTAATTTAAGACTTTTAAGTGATCCTTTTTTGACTGAAACGAAAGCAGAAGAGACCGAAACCGCAAGAGCCGAATGGAAAAGGGACTTGTGATGATGAAAGCGTGCATGGCAATGGTTCCTAAAGCCACAAAACATGGTATTTACACAACCCACTCTTCCTGTCTCTCTGTCTTTTCTTTTTCTTTTTTTCATGTTTCTTATCAAGTTGAAATAGAAAATTCATCATTCGGGATGCGTGGTGGTGATTAAAAAATCGGACCAGATTGAATTGAACAGTTCAACCGAGCATCAATCAAAATAGCTAGCGATTTGATTTGGGTAAAAGATTTATTTTTATGATTAAATCAGCAGGTTGTATTAGAATTAAATCTTCGTTGAGTTTAAAGGTGAAAACATGCCAGACTTTTTCATCATTAATAAGCCAAGCCTGCCAGAATGGCAACCAACAGGCCCACACGAGTCTGATTTGTACAAGGACTTAGCTTAACTAGAAGCCTGTTAAAAAATTCAAAATTTTTTATTAAAAAAATTTACTAGTACAATTTTTTTTACCCTGAATCAAAAGGAAGGCTTTTTATATTGATTCATATTATTATTAGTAAGTTATCAAATTTACACATATCAATATACAATTTAAATAATATAAGAGCTAGTAAATTAAAATTGCAACAGTAAGTGGCATAAAAAAAAAAACTATAACCTCTAGTATATCTCATGAATTTTTTTGTTCTTTTATTTGTTAAGTATATTTCTGTGCTTTTGGTATGGAAGCAGACAGACCGAGGAAAGTAATAAATATATTTGGAAGAGATTCTTCTATGTGGAGAAAAATAGTAACAAAATCGTGCCACCCACACAGGTCTATCAAAAACATACTAGATAAAAACATGGGAATGAGGTAAAGTAATTAACTTTTAATTAAAATTATAACTTATTTTAAAAAAATAAGATAACAATAGGTCCAGGTCGGCTTTTATCCTAATTAAATTGAAACCCAAAATTAAATTGGGATCATAAATATTTTTTTTAAAAAAAAAACCGATTTTGGGTTTTGATGGAAAAATACTGGGAAAAAAAAAACAAAAACCTATAAAATACATTTGACACTCTGAAAAAAAATCTAATATTCATACCATCT